ATTAAAATAATTTTTCTAATTATAAAAACTATTTGAGGTGTATTTTTAGCATTCATTTTTATATTTCTGTGTGCATACAATGAAAATGTCATAATTCATAATAGTAGTGTCTTATTTCCTTTTGATGCTGATTTATATAATAAAATTATCTTTAACCATTTTTGTTTTTGTTTTATAGTTGGTACTAGAGGGCACAAAGTACAACTTTGTGACTTAAAGTCTGGATCCTGTTCCCACATTCTACAGGGTATTTTTTTATTTGTAACAACTACTTTGAGTAAACCATTCAATAAAAATAAACATTCCTAACAATGTATTCTTTGTAAGTAACATGACTGATGTATTTTGTGCTAGTTGTTAAAAGTCAACAGGGAAATAAAGATCCTTCTGTGCATTATTCTTATTAAACTGAACTATTGAGGAGACATTTATATGAACAGTGGCCATAGGGGAAGCTCAAAGGATGTGGAAGGTCTAACTGGAAACGTCGTGTTATTTCTGCATGCTAAAAGATAAACTACTTGTAAAACTTACATGAGTACAGTTGTCTCATGAGCCTTGTCTAATGTTGTTCTGGAGGAGTAAACATTCTTTAGATTTAGGTGCATTTATTCTCAGTAAAAATATTTTAGAAAAAGATACTGAAATAATACTTTGGTAAAAGTATATTAATTTAAATCATTTTTGCTACTTTTTAAATCAATATTAGACCATCTAATCCTAAACAATAAAAAGACACGGTATAATTCAGAAATATACATTCTTATTATACATAATAATTATAAACATAATAAATATATATGAAAAACTTGGTAAAATGGATAGCATTTGTTTTACATTATTATGAATTTCTATTAATATACGCTAAGTAGATGAAAATAACTGATTTGAAGAGTTCAGTTTTGTAAAAGTGAATTAAAATGATAAAATCACTTATCCTAGAACTTATTACCTGTGCTTTCTAGAAAAAAAANACTGGCCCTCATATGTGGGATCCGAACCGGGGCCCTCTTGCGTCCCAAGCCAGCTCTTAACCAACGTGCCACTCAGCCGGCCCTCAAAGCCTAAAATATTTATAACCCGACCCTTTACAGCAAATGTTTGCTGACCTCTAGTGTGGATCAACCTGAATATAGGTGCATAGAAGGCAGACATTTGCAGTCATCCAGAGTATAAGGCCTTGACAAGTGCAGCGATAGGACAAAAGAGTTGCAGATGTTGGTAGTTGAAATATTGTGCCTTGGAATCTAAGCTCAAGAAGGAATAGAAGGGAAGACAGGAGGAGTTACAGGAATTCTGAGTTTTATTTGGGTGTTGTGGAAGTGCTTGGGAACAAAAAAGTTAAAAATGATAGATAATTGTGATCATATATAACTGAAATGTATGGTTTTAAAGGTGGAGCAACTTTAGGTGATGGAAGTATCCTGGTGAGGTTGCTGAGGTTGTATGGAAATGAAAGGCAAAATACTGGCTAGGTCATCTGTGTAGGTGCCGAAGTCCCCGGAACGGAATAGAGAGGGAGATGGTGAACAAGTGGTTGTCTTTACTTAATCTCTGGGATTTATTAGAGAAAAACTGTTGTTTCTCATAAAAGGGAGAAAAGTGTTATAACGATCAGGATTTAAAATTATCAGTTTTTTGAGGGTGTTAACATTCCTATGTTTAAGTCAAATAAATTGCTGACTGTATTTAAAAATTGCTAACATAGGTAAATAGAAAATGTGTTGCTTTTGTGACTGTAATTAGAACTTACACTTTTAAAATGTCTTTTGATTATCAGACTGCAGATATATTTAATTTTGAAGAAACAGTTTATAGTCATCATATGTCTCCAGTCGCCACCAAGCACTGTTTGGTAGCAGGTTTGTACATGGATTCTTTTGTTTTTTAAAATATTGAAAACTTTCTCCCATTTAATGTCTACTTAGTTTTGATATAGACATTTTAACCTAGATGAAGATCACAATTCTTTTTTTTTTTTTTATAGACTTAAGTATAACAGATTTGGGACAGTTTAGGCACTGTGCTAGTGGCTAGGATTCAGAGATTGGGAGTTTCTATGAATTTGTTTGTTTTTATATTACACAT